GAAGATGTGGTTACATTTGGGTTAGCGCTTTCACTTAATATGTCGGCTGCGCGGTCATTCGGACAGGACCTGTCCAAAGGAAGAGTGACGGACGCCGCCGTACTTGGTTGTTGTATATTACTAAATTGTTCTCCCCCTCGCTATTATAGTTCGGCCATCGAAAACGTCGATATCCACCGTGTGTTCCACAGCACGATGGGCACAGGGACGGTGACTTGCGTGCAAATGAACTCATAGTGGTAGTAGACTTGCGCCGCGTCTACTCCGCACTCTCTCCTCCGTCTCACACCACAGCCCCGTGTCTACACAGAGCCAGGACGACCAAAGACAGGATCAAACGCAGCGGTCGATTAAACCAAGCAGCCCGTCTACGCGTGCCATACGCCTGCTCCACGCACGATGTGCAAAATTATAGCAGAAACTAGGAAAGGGCAGTTTAGGCCACAGTTGATTGGAAGAGTCATAAAAGCCACCTTAGTAATGAGTCTCTGAGGTCTGACTCTCTGTCCCGCTAAGAGGACCGAGTTGTCTCGTCAGTTGGCAGCCTTCCCTGCCAGAGCTCGTAGCGCATTGTGATAGCTTAAAGGCGTGCTGGCTTGCTTATGATGAGGAGAATGCACTGAGTGCTGTTGGGACGCAGTCCCCAGAGTCGACCTCACTTTTCCCTCTCCCAGGCAGCAGTGTACTGTCCGAGCCGGGTAGTCATCTGATGTGGGGATTGGGCGCAACTGGCTGACAGAACTCAACAACCCGTCTGCGCCTGCCACACACATGCCCGGTCACTCCCACAGCATGACACGTTTCCACAATGAGACTGCACTTCTAGAATCTCGCATGCGCTGGGATATCATAAGTACCACAGGGGGAAGAACCACTTTCCTCGTTGACGTGAGAGGCACCTATTCTGTGCTTTTGGTGGGTGATATGGGACAGGTTCGTGTGTGTTGTGTGGCCTGATGGGGTATACGTGGTGATGGAATTTAGTCTGCGGTGATTTACCGCAGATTTGTATGCAAGTACACGCGGCCCAGTAGGCTCACTCGGAGACTGAATGTACGTGGACGGTGTGAATATGTGAGATGGGAGCGGCGGGTGTATGTTGGCGCTCATGATACTGGCTCGCCAGCCTCAGTGCGATGAATTCGCAAGTGACCTACCAGGCTGATGCGTGATCTGAAGATGCAACCTCAACGAAGGCACGCTGGAACTGAGTCCGCGTTGCTAGTGGCCACTCGAGAACGCGCGATTTGTTTTAGAAGCATACTTGAAACATCCGCTGTACTAGGTTGCAGCCTCTGATTTAGCAATTTTCTGGTCGAAGTATTTTTAGGTTTCAAATACCAACTTCCACAGAGACACAGTTTCCCATCCGTGGTTGGCTGGCAGTCAGCTCTCGCGGCCGTCACAGCGGCCGCTCACCTATGGGGCTTTCGGCCCGCCTAACATTTCCTGTCGATCGATTGCTTGAATCATGCAAGACTTGGCACCGGTCGGGCGAGAGCTCGAGGCCAATCGATGCTGCATCTTTCGCTGACTGGCCGCACGCGAACAAATCCCAAACGCATCAATTTAGATTTTTGTCTAACAATTGATTAACTTCAATTGTAGTGAAAATGCGATTCTCAGGTGGCATATAAAAAGAAAAGGAGGTGTTCACCAGGAGAGGTGTATTTGAGATCTGACGTTTCGGGTAGTCGTTTCTTCTACCCATCTTCAGAGTCTGAGCCGTTATGCACGCAGCTTTCCTTTTATGGCGCACTTTGTTTGTGCGCGCTACGTTGGTGATACTCTCGTAATAATCGATCAGAATAAAATAAGCTACTATGAAGAACTTGTAGTGACATTTAGGTCCGTTTTGTTTTAATCAGTTACAATACGCTTTGACACAACTTTGAATAAGAATAAGAACACGCACGTACACGTTTACCTGCTGACGACTTTGTTCTTATTTACTGGTTTGTAACTTTTGGGATACTGCTATTTTCGTTTACCGGATAGCCTACTCGCTGTGCCCAACTAGTGGGTTTGTATCTTACACTGGTGACCCCGACGTGATTCGAACACGCAACCTTCTGATCTGGAGTCAGAACTCAATCATCCCCGATCTACAGTTCACGATGGAAGAAGAAGTGGAGAGCGAACTTTCATTCTTGGATGTTCTCATCTGCCGCCAACCAAACGGCAAACTGGCGACGTCAGTCTACAGAAAAATGACGAACACGCTGCAAATGCTCAGTTACCACAGCAACCATCCACTGCAACACAAACGAGGCTGTGTACGCACGCTATACCGACGGGTGGAAACTCATTGCAGCACTCCAGTCGCCAAACAGGACGAGATGAAGCTCCTCCAAGAATTCTCCAAAGCCAGCGGATATCCGCGAACATTCGTTGAACGGAACCAAAATCAACCAAGGAAGCGGAATGAAGAACATAGTCAGCCAAAATCGTGGCGGAGCATTCCATACATGAAAGGGGTCTCTGAAGCCGTAGCCAGATCTCCGAGCCGCTCGGAATAGGCGTTGCCCACAGTCCGGACTCAACAATCCGCTGGCAATTGGTGCGGCCAAAAGACACGATCCCTAAGTAGGAGATGTCGGCTGTTGTCTACCGACTTCGGTGCAGCTGCGGAATGTGTAACTACGCTGGGGAAACCGGCCGACGGCTGCAAACGCGCATGCACGAGCATAAGTTGGCCGGTTGGACCCAAAGTCGGAGGTAGCAACCCGTGCCGCCCAAATGGAACACGTCTTCAACTTTGACGCCGTTGGAATTGTGGGCCGAGGTGATGATCATACGGCAAGGCAGGTGCAAGAAGCCTGGATGTCTACCGACTGTTCTGTCAACCGCCACACCAATTTGCCTCCCCCTTATCTGGTTTTACGGACATTCTTGACGGGAGACAGTCACGACGCGGGGCAATCGAGGCCGTCAATTATCGCCGCTGTCGACGAAGATGGGCGGGATTTAGGTCACGGTGACATGCAGGTCGGATGCAGCCACACAGACGGCATTGACGGGCCGAGCATCAAACAAAGTGCTCCATAAAAGGAAAGCTGTGTGCATGACTGCTCAGTCTCTGAAGATGGGCAGAAGAAACGACTACCCGAAAAGTCAGACCTCAAATACACCTCTCCCGGTGAACGCCTTTCTTTCTTTTGAATTGATTAACTATTTTTCAGACGGAGTCTTCCAATGCCTTGGTTTTATCTTTCTCTGGCATTTCCAGACGAAATGAACTCGGCTGGTTTAAAATGGATTCCAGTTTGGCCGTATAGTCTCGCCGATTAAGAATGACAACTCCATGGCCTCTGTCAGGCTTAGAAATTACTATTTGTTCAAGGCACTTCAGTGCAGCTAGGGCAACCATGTGTTGTTTGGTTATTGGTGGGAGAAACCTTATCTATGTAAACAGTTAAACGACCGGATCAACCTAAACTTGCTCTGATAAGTCCCAGACCTTGATTTGACCACCCCTTCTGCGTGCTAATACCCGCATTTTCTTTCCTAAATTGTGTTTTTAAGTTACCGTTGTATTGATTAGTTAGCATGCAGTCAACGATGAATTTTTCTGTTTAGAATTGATTTTTTCTGTGGAAAATTAAATCTCTGTATCTTTCTCATTCGTTATCTCCGTTGTGCAGTGACAGGTTGCAGTTGATAGGCCGTCGCGAAATTTTTTGGTTCCACTAAATTCTGTTGTGTATACTTGCTTCAAAATTAGGTGGAACTATAGTGCTGATTTTCGTGCGGCATAATCTCAGGATATTTCAGTCACGTCAGGATACGGGGTTTTAAGTGATGCAAAAACACCCGGCGAAAAATGAATACTTAAATAATAGGGCGTTTTCCTATCGATTTTCAATGGCCTTATAAATTTAAATATGCTTTAAAGAAAACGCGCACACAAATATTCACCTTTATGAATTGGAAAACAGGCTACCCAGGAAATAAAACACGTTCTCCGGGAAAAGTAAAAACTTTATTAGGGAGATTTTTGACACTGGTTCCCCATGCTATCGTCAGATTTGAGTAAATGCGCTAAAATAAGTTAACATTTCGAACTTGCATAAACAAAACGATGTCATTTTGTGCTCATACCTGCAAACGGCCGCCGTTTGCACCACTCTGTATCGGTTGGTTCTCGCCTCTTCCGTTTTTTTCTCTGAGATTTTTGTACACGGCATCTGGCTCAATGTGCCGATTGATGCATGATTCATCGGAGTGCATGGCTTTAGGAAACTTTCAGCTTTTTTGGAGGGAGAGACTTCGACGATGCGAGTTCTGTCCCAGGTTGTGTGCCCGGTATCAAGAGTGTGCATGCCCATTTAAGATAGATGGTTTCGCCTTTTGACTGCAAGTTACTGTTCGTGGATGCGTGCAGAGGCATATTTTCCAGGTTGACCACAACATACGGCCTCACAAGCATCATATGCGATCTTGTAAACGACTTCCTTCTTATCAAGATAGCCAACCCTATCCTTAGGATGTTCAAACTGAGTGCGTAAAGTAGTCGTCGGTTTGTCCGCCGCTTTTTCGGTGTTTCCTCAAGTGTCTTTCAACGAGATCAGACACGTCCCTCATGTAAGGAAGCATTCATCAAGTATCTGCTTTCGGCGCTCGATTAGAACTATCTAGCTTCTTTTCTTTTAACTCTTGTTGCTTCATACATCGACGTACAAAATCTCTAGAGCAATCATTTTGGAAATTAATTCAAGCAAGTAATTTAGTTTCACTCGGCAGTTTTCTTCGCCGGCTCAACATGTTTCTGCTTGGTAGAGCAGACCCTTGACAGTACTCCGCTTGCGAGCAATTGGGCTGTTGTCCGAGTTGTACGCCTTAAGGATAGGATTGGCTATACTGATAGGAAGGAAGTCGTATGCAAGATCCCATGAGATGCATTTGAGGCCTTATATTGTGGACAAACATGAAAATCTGCATTCATGAGCACCAGCTGGCAGTTAAAAGGCGAGACTACCGGTCACAAATGGCCATGCACACCCTTGATACTGGACGCGCCTTCACCTTGCGTCGTCGCATTGCCCCTCCCATAAGGCCGAGAGTTTCCTGAGGCCATGAACTCCGATGAGTAATGCGTCAGTCGGCACACTGAACTAGATGTCATGTACAAAAATCTCAGGGAAGAAGTGAAAGGGGTGAGAACCAATCGGTACAGAGTTACGCAAATGGCGGCCGCTTACTGGCGCAAACGCTGGATGAGTATCGATTTTTAAGCACATTTACTGAAGTCTGACGACGAACAAGGAAACCAGTGTCAAAAATCTACCCAAAATATTTTTTTTCCCAAAGAACGTATTTGCTTTCAAAATATTCACCCTTTTACTCATTTATTAGAAAACAGTTCTTCAAATTTTGTACGCTAGGGGACGACCCCTTTCGAATTCATTTTAAAAACGTTTCTAACTTCCCGAATACTTTCAGCCCTATCTGAGTTTGGGGTTTTTAGTTTAGAGGCTGTACACTTTCCGTGCAAGAACATTTATGCGTTTTCTTAGCTATTAGGAAGACACTGTGTAGGACTCACAGCATTTTGAAATTAGTTTTGACAATGTTGTATACTTGGTGGGAGCCATTTATAAACAGCGAGGCACGATGCTACTTTAATGAAAATTATACTGTCCTAAAAACCTCATAATTGAAAACTTTTTTAAAATTGAGAGATATTCCCTTTTTCGAGTATTAAATCTGAAGAAGACGTGATTTACCACAGAATGAATGAAAAAGAATTATTTTCATGTACATTTTATGTAAAGTATATTTTAATTTTTAATGGCACTGAAAATCAATGAAAACATAAATGATGCTTAAGTAATCATGTTTAATTGAGTGCGGTTTTTGCAGTCGGCTGAAAATCTGTGCATTCAAAAACCAGCGTCGCAAGGTGCCTAAAACACCATAGTCGTAGACCTCACGATAATCGATATTCCTACTCTACTTAAGTACAAAGATCCCTCCTCGATCGCGGGAGTTACGCTGGAGAACCCCCCGCGATAAGTGAAAATTTGCGAACAAAACCATATGCTTCTATGGCTGCTTTTATATATCTTAGGTCCTTAGAACCCTCCCACATCCTTATGAACACTCTTCACGCAGTTACACAGCATAAACTCTTAAAATCCTCTTACGTAATGAGTAATATTTGCCGAAATTATGTATTTGAACACACTGTTTATATGAATGTTCCATCGTTGTTGTCAATGATGTCCACCGTGGGCTCTACGGTAAAGTAAAGCAGGGATGGTGATCTGTAGGTGAATTAATTTATAGTGGCATTGGACTTGCACAACATCTAGTGCACTATCTCCTCCTCCTCCTCCTCCTCCTCCTCCTCCTCCTGCTCCTCGCCTGAGCCTGTAATCGAGACACGGTCAAGGAGGTCGAGGGCAGGAGAGGGCGCCGGTGGCTGGTGCGGCCAGACCCGCACCTAGGCGTGTCACTACACCCTCTGATCCACAACAAACATTTGGCCAGGATTTTAACTTGCTACAAAAAATGGGTCAGATAGAGGATGACAAAAATCGCTGGATAAACATGCACACAGGGTAAGGGAACTGCCAACGTACACCCAGGTCGTGAGGGCCATGGTTTGCTCAATCATGACATTGCATGCGCACACAGTCCTTAAAGCCACTGTTTATATACTACGCATTAATTCATGCATCGTATATCATCGAGAAGGCTTACTTGATGCATAATACGGTTTTAAGCCCACCGTAATAGTACGTATCTTCATGTTGACCCAATTGTGGAAAACTCGGTGCCTCGGTGGAATTCGAACCCAAAACAGCAAGGGGAGGCTTTAGTACAGCCAGTGTTCTAACCATCTGAGCTAAGAGGCCCCACCGGACGACGCGAGTTTAATCACATTTGGATCAAGTTTACCCGCCCAACCTACATCAACGTCTGGAATCCACCAAATCTAATACAATAAGCTGACTGCCCAAGCGGCATTTCCTAAGTAATAGATCTAGAATCCACCAGGACGGATGAACTTGATCCAAATCTAGTTCTCAGTTGAGTCAGAGTGGATCTGCCAAAACGCCTCTGAAGTACTTATTTTAATGGAAATAATACCAGTAACGTCCCGTGTACGAAATCACCCGAGAAAGCATGCGCCAGAAATAAAAAGGCCCATTGTCTGCGAAGCAGCAAAAAATCCGCTTGTATATAACATCCACGATAGAGTGAAACAGCGAAAGTCGGTGCACGATATAACGAGGGATTACCGTTATCCTTCCTGATCGTAAACGCATTTCAGATGCTCCGTTAATATTTTATGAGATCGGTCATCGATTCTGAGTAATCTTGTCGCAGAAAAATAATGCCTTAAGATATCTACTAGTTCCAGACACTTATACAGATGCTGGAATGACGTTACGTAAAAATAAGTGGGCGTCAGTGTGCCAGGTCTTTTTGAATACGTACTTCTGCACCGCACCGCGTCATCTAAGTTGATGCTATAAGGCTCGCAACCACGCAAGCCGGCTAGTTAATGCAGGCATCGAAGTCCTCAAGGCAATGACCGAGGTCTTTAATTGCGTTTTCGACTTGAAAACGTTACACGAGTAAGGTTTAAGGACTGTTAATCCGCAGCGTGTCAGCGTGTTTGTAAGCTTACTGGCAAAAGTGCAATGCCAAAACCTCTGTGGACGATAAGGGAGTTGGTTACAAGGGCTTCGTGCTAGCGGCTTATCGAACTGTAACGAAGTTCATGAAGTGTTCGCCCCAACGGTATCATTTGCGGACTGGAACCGCCTAAAGCGCAGGATCCTTTGATGGAAGGGGGTTTTCTTGCGAGTAGAATATTTACTGGTCCGGCCAGGGTTCATGTAAAGACTGATTGGTTCAGTGATGAGATTGAACAAACGCCATGCACCTCCTCTCCTGTGTCATACCGTGATTAGTATATTTAAGTTCGAGTCTGCGTCATCGAAAACCACAGCATCATAGGAATGAAAAAGAGGGGATAACTTAAAGACTATCCGGTAAAAACACGTCGCTGTGTTCAGGCATCCACAGTTCGTGGAAGGGAAGATTTTCAAAAAATATCGTTCCTTATAAGACTAGGATTTTACCCATAAGTGGTGTTCGCCAGTCTACGTTGATTACTGAGTGGAATTCAGTCCTCCGTTTTGCCCTGGTAGACGGCAACATCGTTACAAAGAATCAGTAATCCGGAGGCATTACGGTAATGGCCATGGAGATTGGAATAACCGGAGATAGAGAGAAAAGTCCGAGGTTTGGACCTGCCCTCGCTTTACCACTAAAACTAACACTCTGTTAGTCGAACTGCCAGTTGACGTCGTTGTCGAATCGTGATTGGTCAACAAGGGCAATTTTCCCAAACCAAAGATCAGGAAGACAGGATTAGTAGGACAACCTTGATTGCACCAAGGAAGATCGCAAGTAGCCCAAGCAGCGGCATTTCTTTTGACCACGATAAGGGCCAGCAGTTGATGTTTTCAGCCCCGACAAAGGGTGCTTGCGAGCCCCCGGACTTTGTCGGATTTCAGCCAGTCGTTGAAGACAGAAACATCAATTGGCGTCCCATTGTCGATGGGCTGAAGTCTGTTTCAGGCGGCGATATCTGAGGCGAAATAGGAATGATATACTCGGGGCTGGATTGCTTGTGTATCGGAGTACAGTTTTATAATTTTTCATTGGAAGCTGGCTGCAGTTCTCGCAAGCGGTCTTGTGGCGAAAGGAACCAGTGGTCGATAAGTATGATCGACGAAATAACCATTTAAAGCCTACAATACGTCAGATCGCAGTCGAGGGCTGCGTACCTCTGCTTTATCTGGCAGCGTGTCGAAACAGTCGACTGAGACCGGGTTCATACTTTAGGTTTTCGACGGTTGGGAAACCAGAACAGGTCCCAGTAGTCTACCGTCACGAAATAAACGACATACGTGTCACTAATATTGCAATACTGTTCTCACAATAAGGATGCGATGATAATACGCTAGCAACGATAATACTGTTGCGACGACTGCACCTGATGAGAAGAGCGTTCGTTACTACTACTACTACTACTACTACTACTACTACTACTACTACTACTACTACTACTACTACTACTACTACTACTACTACTACTACTACTACTACTACTACTACTACTACTACTACTACTACTACTACTACTACTACTACTACTACTACTACTACCATCAGCATCGCTATTATTATTACTCCGATGAATTATAATTGTTCTCCCTCGCACACCTTTACTACAGCCTATAAGTGCTTCTTCAGCTCACCATTTTGAATTTGCGCCAGACAAAGCGCAACACCCCTTTGTTGTGTTCTTCAACAGCACGACAGAAACCTGATTGAAAGGAGTCAAGGAAAGAAATTGTACGCAAAGCCAATTTTAACCGGCTCCAATCATAAAGCAGAGAGAACTGGGAGTTTCAAAGTCCCTTCCAGGACTTTTGAGTCAAGGGCTGACGTGTGAACAAGTACGACAAGTGAACTCGCCTATTGCTATCAGGAAATGTAAGATCAGGTATTATAATTCGCCCTGAATATAAACTTAACTTCCTCCTCAACTCCTTTGATTCGTCGTCCCAGAATGACACGAAGAAGCTAAAGAGGCATCACTGGGCAACTCATTTTGAGTGTATGCAAGAGACATCTGGATAATGGCCTGTTAAAAAACAACCGAACTTTCCAAGCCCTATCTACCGAATTACTGAAACGACTATAAATATGCTACTAATATAAATTCAACGGGCTGTTTTGTGTACATAAGCGTTGTCTCAGGTGCAAATTTTCACCGTGCGAATGCAGTGAGCGATTTTTTCGTTGTTATTCCAGAAATGCCACATCTATTTCACATTTATGTTCCACCATTAGATTTATGCATTCTGCACACTTAACCTACATGCAAATTTTTTTATTTGAGTATTCTCACTCCGGCCTGTACCGTTTACATGGGTTTCTGTCATTTACTCCAAACAGACTGAATGATACCGAATGAAATATAATCTTTCCCTCCAGGGTTAACCAAGTAGCTCGGACTAGAATCTTCCGCACGGGTGGTCGGAGACTAGGAGTGCGACACAAATTCACAGATTCTCAAAATGAAGAGCAGTTTCCTTTAACTAGAGTTAATAAGGCATGCGCTCGAAACCAATTCAAGCTGCTTATTGTAAAAAAGAAGGACCACCTACTCAGTGCTGGTTGGTAGAAGTGCACAACAGTTTCACTCCGACATTTTTTGATATTCTCGATATCCCTACGTCCAGACGAAAGACTCCTACACTCTTATACTTTCATGGGGATATTATTAGGACTTGGCACTATGATAGGCACATCCCCGTCTCCTCTGCCAGTCTTAAAAACGGGAAGGTCATACAACGTCTTTTGCGCTCCAAAGTTGGGCTGCAGCTTCGCAATCCCTATCTGAAAGTCACAGTGGTGAATTTTTCATTTTCATCATCGCTATATAGGCCTTCAAGGACCGAATATGCATCATCAGTGATTTTAAAAACAACGTCAACATGACAGCTCACAAGTTTATTTTGCTGGAGAGGAAAGCTCAGTAAATTACGTCTGCGAGATATTTCAAGACGTTTTATTAATAAAGTATACATTAAGGGGTAGCCAATTTTGTCTTCAATGCGTTTTGTCTCGTCGGCAGGAGCGAAAACGACAGAGGCTGCCGAAAGTCAGCTGACTAAATTTTTGCGAAAGAGGCCTTTGTTTTAAAGCGTGATTACTACACAGCCTGTGGTGAAAAAAATGCGTATGATGGAACGGAATGAGTTTTGCAAATGAATAAATTCCATGAAAATACAAATAATAATCTTAAAATAGACTCTTAAACCATATAAGGTGTCCCAAGTAGGCGAGCCTTCCTCAGATCATGCAGCTTAAGAAGCCCAAATCGTTGAAGTTACGGCTAATGGACTGGTGGAGAGGTAGACAAGGTGATCTTTCAGGTTAACAATCACCACGAAAACCTTTCCGCTGTATAATGGATGTCGTTAATTGTTTAGTTTGTCTAAGATAAATTTCGGCACATGTAACTAAGGATTACAAGGTAGCATGAAAAAAGAACTTTTATTAAAAGTTATCATGAGAATCTACGCGTACGGCTTAGAAAAGCATTCAAGAAGACCGACCGGTCTGACGTGCGAAACCCCCGAGTTGTAATAATTCTGTTGACAAAAGCAGAATTGACGACCGATTTCGATCTTTTTGGCAATCAGTTAATAGGGAAGTTACTCAGGTATATAATCGCCGCGACAAAAAAACCCAAGTCTCCTTGATATCCTACTTTAATAAAAGTAGCTAGTACTTTACCATGAACAAAACCTCGAACTCTTGAATGAACTTTCACTTTTTGCGAGCAACTGTTTACCCTGAATCTTTATAAATATAGTTCCAAATCATGCAAAATTCTTCCTGACCCCAAATGTACGCACATATCCATCAGAGTTTACTTTAAAATATGTGTGCATACAAAGTTCACAGTTTGCGTTCAGAAGCCAATACTTGCTCTTAATTCCTTTTGTTACCCAGACATTGCTACTTTGCAGGCAGTTTCCTCTAACAGTTGTACCAGAACGCTTGGTTCAAGTGCGAAACTAACCTCATTCAAAATGAAATCCGAAATAATACTATAAATCGCGTAGTATAAACTAAACTTAGTTTGGCTTCAAATTGTTATGCAAGTTACGCGTAGAGACTTCTCAAATTATACATGGATGCAATCAAACTGCATCTTTGTCATTTCTCCCTTCTTTGTGGAAGAAAGTTTAGGTAGCAATGCAACTTAAATGCAGTGGAGATGAAGTCCGACGATGAGGGTAATGTTAGCAAAATTCCTAGTGCTGTGCCAGTCGTTCTAAAATAAGACCCAGAACTTATGTCGGAGTCTTAGTTTATTTCATTTTGTATATTACACTAACAAGAAAGATTCCAATTTTCAATTGGCAAAGGGCAAAAAGAGCATTTTATTTTAGAAATTATTTAAGTTTGAGCATCTTTCATGCATAAAAAGGTGTAGTGACAAATAGAGTCATGAATCAGTAGCCACAATTACATTATATGCAAAACTCTTCTCACATGAGGAGGCCATGTGCTAGCAGGGAAATAAATAGTTTTCGCTGCTTCCACAAGTATACAGGTCACTTTTCCTCCCTGTTTTTGTAAAGAAACGCGGCCAGGTACTCAATAGGCCGTTCAGGTCTTCAACATGAGATTAAGACAAAGTGGTTTACCTTTCACGATTTAAATACCGCAGCCCTTGTATCAAAACAGGAACCAGTTGGTTTTCGAGATAGGGCCTCACGGGGAGACTTTGGATGGCTGATATTTCATTTTTGTTCTTTTCCTTATGCAAAATATACTTGGAGATATCTAAAATGTATTGGTTTAACAGGTCTTCCACTTTCGAAATCCTATCATTTGCGTCCATTTGAAATGGAGGATATCCATGTAATCACACTATAACAACTTAAACAAATTATATGACCTTGAGTGTCCGCAGGCAAGTTACGCAAGTTGCAAATCGAGAGGCGTAAAGTGGGATTAAAAGCACAGGAATTTTGAGCCGAAGTTGCATAATGCACAGTCGAAAAGACTGTCCAGTAAGGCAGGGCGTGCAGATATGCTTGCTGTTCTCCCACTTATTTCATCTGCATAATTCGATATTCGGTCGCGTGCATTACATGCTTTCTAAAATAGTTAAATTTGTTTATGAAGAGCACGCTACGCTAAGAGACATCATGCACAAACAAACCTACATCGATTCATGGAAAGGTATAAAACCCAACTTTCATTCTCAGATAATTGTGTCAACACAAAATGCAACTCCTGGAACAAATTCGAATTTTTCGCAAATACCAGTTGGAAAAACGAAAGATCACAAAATAATTTGTGTTTCAGTCGCCCTGACTTTTAAAGCGGCTCTATACTTAGTAGTCACTCTGAAAATATACGGGTAAAGTGGCTAAACCAGGCACGGGTATGATCAGCGGTCAGCAAAACCCGCCGGAATGCTTCGAGTGAGCCTAAGAGACAGTCTTCATTTTGTCACAACTGGTTAACTTACTAATGTCTATATTATTCACTTAAACATATCAGTAGCTGCAACACTTCTACCCATTTCTCCAGCTCCGAGATATGTGCACTGAGATGGTTTCCATGATAACCAGATTATGTTATATTTACGCAATCTGACGTAAACTGGTTTCCATGAAAACTATTGAATCACACAAGAAGATTGCTTTATTTTTCGTACTAACTGTTTGTTGACTCTGCCAAAGTGGACTGCATGACCTGCCAGTTATATGGATGAAGCTGGTTTCAGAATATGTTTGGGGGATGCTCTAAATCCATAGGTGCGCATCTACTTTACTCATTCTGGGCTCGTAGACCAGACAATATAACCTTTGGATATTATAACACGTTAATTATTGAGTAAAAAGGCAGTTTTTGTGCTGCTGGTGGAGTCTTCATAATCAAAAGTACTTCCGCTCTTTTAAGAAAGCCTTCTTAATCAATTAGTTGAAGCTCTTAAGGACTTCCGCGTTAATGAAGCCTTGTCAAATTGAGATTATATGTCTGCACCGATGGACTCAAAATTGCTCATGGGTAAAATGAGATTTGGATTGCTTACTTTATATGAAATACAGTTTAAATAGTCACTGTCGAATACGCAACATTATGAAGTAGTGTCAACTTAAGTACATTGAAACTTTTGTCGCTACGAATTCATGCGTTTGTTGACTTCCACCTGACTCATTGACAATCTCCAACATAGAAGCCACCTTAGTGCACTTTAAGGGCCGTATAAATGTGGACTTGAAATCTGTAGCGGGACGGAAAACAATTGCGCATTGATGGCTCAAATTACTAAACTCTTGTGCTTTAAGATTACTTTTCTGTCCAGTATTTGTTGTCGACAAAAGAGAGCAGGATACTTTTCCGGCTGTCAGCTTGTAGAGATTTGGTTTTGGAGGCTGATGCCAAGAATCGGGTTCTCTATAACGACCATTCAACCGATAATTTAGTCAAATTCTTTTACGAAAAATGAAGGGATTTCAGCTATCGTTAACATGATGTAGCGCGTGTTAAACAGTATGCTTTAAACGAATGCAGAAGTAACCGTCCACGCAGACTTCAGGGTAATAAAAAGTGTTCTGAACAGTGGGGAACTGCGAGACTACTGCATGGTGAAGTGTCCTGGACAGCAAAGAAGGGGCTTGTTTGCTGCTGTCTAGAGAATCTAGCCTTTGGAATTCACAAGGTTTGTTTTTAGTTAGACTTCTTCCCACCGGTATGTTTAAAACGCTGCAAATTAGTGACCTTGGCTGAAGGGAGACCTACAGATAAATTATTCTATCTAGCAACCATGAGTGTACTGTCATTGTAAATTAAAGTACACGCAAAAGCATTTACGGATAAATGTTCGGTTGAAAGAGAAAACCTGCATAGTGTTCAATTTGTGTTTATTATAAGCAGTCTGACAGAAGAAACGAGCGAACAATAAAAAAACTTATTCAAATATTGAAAGAAAGAAAACAAAATAAATGCGATTTGTCACTTTTTTACGGAGAAAAATGTCATCAATCAGTCAATTGACTACGGCCTGGTTACAGAAAGAGGATGAAATTTGAATATCGACAGTTTATCGGTTACCAACACACTCCGATAAACGAAACAAGGGATCTTAATGTGCGGATGACACCCACTCCCAAACCTTCCTTTTGCTAGGCCAAGATAGCAGTGAGGGTAATTTATATCCTGGGGGAGATAAGGAGATATTTCGTCAACTCCGTCGAAGTACTTTTTGGTAAAGTGTTTGGAACATTTATCTGGCCGATGCTAGAATACCGTGTCCGGATGTGGCGTTCCTGGATGAAGCAAGACGTTCAGCGAAGAGCGACCAAACTAGTCAGCGTGCTAAAAGGCCTACTTTATACTGGACGACTAGAATGGCTTACATTTTCCTCTTTCTTATGAGCACTACAGAGGGGACATGACTATAGTCTGTAAACTCGTTAGAGGAGTAGACTGCGCCTTTCAGCTCGCGGAATTTTTTGAACTGACACTAACGTCAAATCTTCTCAGCCACCAATAAAAACAGAAGACACAATGCGTCAGACTTTAAGTACGGACCCAGTTCTCCTATGGGGTGTCTAAAGAACGTAGCAAACACCTTTATTCTCTCGTTTGGACTTGAAACGTTTAAACATTTAAAAGAAGACCTGATAGAATTTCGCTTGATGGCTACCTATTTGCTTGGTAATGACTGATATAATGTACCCGTATAGCTATGCAAATGTATGCGCTTTTTCAGCAAATATGTGCTTATAGGATCTCCGACGGTTCTGCCTACCTGGCTTGGGTATACTGAATTGTACGTTGATTTCAGGAGAGCCTTCGATGGTGTTTCATACCATCGTCTTCTGTACAATTTGATCGTAAGGGTTGTCAGAGGCAAATTTCCTAATTGCATCAAAACTTCCTCGTCTATCTTCCTCAAGTGACAGAAATCAAGGTGCACAGTCATAGAGAATAGAGTTTCACAAGTTGCAGTGCTGCGATCGACCCTCTTTTTCCTTTTTATTTATAAGTGTGCATAAGAATTTAACAGATAATGTGACATGGTTGCTGATGATATAAATATGTTGAAAGTCATCCACAGTGATGTCGACGAAGCCGACTTACAAGAAAATCTCTGTCGATTGGGAGAGTGGTTAGGTGGATATCTCCCGTCATCTAATTGAAACAAACGGAGGGTGCTGTATCTCGGAAATCGAAATCAGATCACCAATACGCTCACCTATCATCTGAATGGAATGCCACTCCTAGAAGCCGAACCAGAGTAGGATCTTGGCGTTCATATGAAGAAGATTCTAAAATCTCCTCCACATTGTTGCAAAGCGACTGAGATAGCAACCAAAATGCTGTCAGAAGGAATTCACAGTTTTTGATGAAGGCTGCTTCTCCAAAGTGTTTGGCACTTTGGTAAGACCGCATCTTGAATATGCAATCCAGATCAGGGGACATTGAGCGCAGCAGGATTGTAATTTGAAAGAGTGCTGGGGCGGTCCTCGAAATTAATAAGAGGCCAAGGATAGCTGCCATGCAACACACACCCTCCTAACGTAAGTCTCTGTCCTCTGAGTTACAGGCGGTTTTTCCAGCACTTGATATAGACTCCCCGTATCGTGAGCGTTTTTGACTGTGTCTTCCGGTGAGGGGACCTCTTCCAACTCGCCACTTAAACCATGACCCGGACGCATCCATTCAAGCTACGTATGGCCCAAGGGAAACAGAATGCGAGGAAGTAATTTCCCGCAGACTGTGTAGTGGAATCATGGAACAAACCTCTGAGGGCTAAAGTTACATCTCAGTCTGTAGAGACAGTCAAATATCACTTCGAGGCACATGTTTCAGCAACCAACGGACGACATGACCATGTAACCCTGGAAATAAATTTACTCAGATGAAACTACGTCTGTGTCCACTTGACACTGTGATTTCCTCACATTATTGCTTAATCTTCGACTCGTATGTGACAAATAGGAAATTCAACGGAATGAGCCTATTTTCATCAAATTCTTTGAAATAAAAGAAGCTCTTGCACGAATATTACTAATTTTGTCATAGTATGTAGTACTTTATTATAGAACGCGCAGGTAATAGGAGTGGTCGACAAATAAAGAGCAGCAAACAACAAACAGAAAAATCAGTAACTTGTGACACTATATGAATTCAGTTCGATTCAGCTATTCTTGCTTCGAATTTAGTGCCCGATTTCCTTAAATAGTCGGTTACTCTGATGATTTGTGGCACAAAAGTACAAGTCAATGGGTTCAAGTGATTTAAAGAAAGCAGTAGTAATATATTCTGACGGAACTGACATTGATCTTTTATCATCCATTCTCTAGAGAGGAAATAGGGTGTCTGGTAGAGTAATGGATGGAGAGTTGTTCTGAATACCTGAGTGTCTAGAATAGGATTCGGATACATCAGCCGTTCGTTAACGAAGTTTATCAACTGACGTGAAATGGAACAAATATAATGATAACCACACATGCAAACCAAATGATGCAGGCTCCAAAGTTGACAGAAAAGACATATACCTGTTAGATGTTACTCTTGCCCAGGTGACTATCGCTAATGAACACAGACACTCATAGCGGATGTTGCCAAACACAGTATAGCAAAAAGTTCCACCATACTGATGGTGATTAAGAGGAAAGTAGACTTCCGCCTAAACAACGATATAACGATGTTCTATCAGTTGTCGGGTGTTGATTTTGTCTAAGAGCTTACGTAGATACGGAAAGAGGGTTACCAAATTTTCGGGTTTATCAAAACCTCTGATCACCAGTTATCAGTCAACTGAAGAATTTCGTATGAACATATCGTCTATTAACGCTTGCTAGGATATGTTGATTGAGT